ACTAATGGGTAGGTACAGTTAAGTGTGGAGAAGGAAGGGAAGAATTCCTGGGGGTACTCCCAGAGGACAGGCAGCTCTGAAAGGAGTGGGTGGGGACCAGGGTGGGGGAAGGAAGGCTGTATCTGTAGGAGCGCTACCCCACTTTCCTCTAGTAGCATCCTGGCTGTGTGCAGTGAAATATTGGCTACCATGGTGATAAAGGAACCGAAGAGGAGGAGCTTGAGAAGGATGTTAGGATACATATGAATAAGGCTGTGTTATCTGGAAAATATCTTAACATTACTTGCTCCTCTGCCTAGGATGTCTGTGTTAGTTAGCTTTAGCTGTCACCTAGACACAGTTATCAGAGAGAATCTTCACTGGGGGATTGCCCCGGTCAGATTATCCTGTGGGGGTATATAAGGAATTGTTCTGGTCTTTGATTGATGTGGGACAGCCAGACCGCTGTGGGCAGTGCGACCTCTGGATGGGTGGGCCTGGGCTGTATAAAAACAGCTAGCTGAGCGTGAGTGAGCCAGCAAGCGACGTTCCTGCTCCAGCTTCCTGCCCAGACTTCCCTCGGTGATGAACTGTGACCTGGAAGTGTAAGCTGAAGTGACTCCTTTCTTTCTCCATGTGGCTTTTGGTTGGAGTGTTTTACTACTGCGATTTATTGTAGCATGGTGCCAGAAGTCATCATGAATGACAAAAGTTTGGGGTATTTTTGAAACAGGGTCTGGCCATGTAGACCAGAGTGGCCTGAATTTGTGATTGACAGTAGTGCTAGAATTATGGGAGTGTGAGACCAAGCCTGCCAATGTTCTTTATGGTACACGGCGGATCTGTCAGTCATGAACACCTTCAGCTGACTACAGAAGCTGAGATATCTGCACAACTGGTTTAAACAACAGAATTCACCGTCTCTTCTGAAATCACAGTTAGGAATTTAGCAGCAGTTCAGTGTCGACGTCTCTCGTCTGGCATCTGAGAGTCTTGTCTCTTCATGGTCCAAAGATGGCTGCAGCAGCTCTAAGCATCACAACACTATAGGAGTAAACAATTCCAGTGGCAATAAACAAAGTAGTTTCTCAGGCCTTCCTCCCTCAGGAAGGAAAGGTCTTTTCCCCAAAGGAATTTACTTAGCAGACTTCTCCTTGAGTCTCAGTGGGCAGAATTGGGTCACATGGTCATTATAGTCACAATGCAGGCTGGGAAAATAAGCCATCTTTGTAAGTCCCTGCTGTGGGATTTGGACATAGGACACAGGGGTTAAGAAAGACATTGAGCCAAGCAATCCATCAGTTTGGCGTTCCCAGGTCTCCCTGCTCCTGGGCAGAATTTTCTATAGAGTCCATGCTCTTCAGTGGGGCTGGGACTCTGCCTGATAACTGGGACACAGCGACTGTGTCTATGTGGGAGGATGACTCCTGAACTGGTGTTTGCTTCCCAGCCTCAGTCCCTGTGAGGACTTCCTCTTTCTCGAAGGCTTGAGTCTCAGGAAATGTTGGCTCTCCATCAGTCAAAGACTAAGGAATTCTTAGCCCACCACAGTTCATCTGAATGTCAGATATTTAGTTAGCTCCTTTCTCTAGCTCCATAGGGTGCAGGGATGTGGGTTACAGGAATTGCACAGAATGTTGAATGACAGCATAGGAGCACACCAGAAACACAAGCATAAACCAAGCTATCATCGTGAGCCCTAACCTGCTTAGAGATAAGGTCATATGACTAATATCTGGGTAATTACTGGCCCTTATTTATTCATTAGTTGTGATTGGCTCAAGGGTGGTTACATGACCTAAGCCAGTTGTATAAGAAAATCAATCAGGCTGTTGAAGGGGGTTGACAGAGAAGCTTCCCAGAACTGTGAGTTTGGGTTGTTAATAAGCTCCATTCTTGCAGCTCTTCCTTCTTTGCTGAGAGTGTCTGCATTGTTCATAAGCTGAGGAGTCAGTACATTCCTTCAGAAAACCCCAGCCACTTTATGGCTACAGTTCATGTCGTGTGCAATCACTCCTTCAGATCAGGCGTGTTCAGAGTGGTAGCCGGAGGCCAAACACTCATTTCAAGTGTACAGTTCAGTGGTTTTTAGCATATAGAAGTGTGCAACCATTACCACATTGGTTTTAAAACATGTTCATCATCCCAAGAAGAAACCAGACCTGTCCCTCTCCCCCAAACAGCTCCAGTCTTAGGCAACCACTGAGTACTTTAAACCTCCCTGGGTTTGCCTAATTTAGACATTTGAGTTTAAATGGAATCCTATAACACTGGTCCTTGTGAGCTGCTTCTTTCACTTAGCACACTACGTTCTTTGTCCGTCCATGTCAGAACAGAGCAGGTTCTTCTTGCCAGGACTGGCTGTGGCTGTGTTTATAGCACTTGTCAATTGAAAGTGCACCCAGAATTTGATGTCAATTATGAAAAACCTGTTCTTCTATTTTATCTGGTGAAGCCAAATCATGGTGGCCTTTGGATACCACACCAAGGAATCTGACATTCCTGCTATAGACCCTGGAGATTGCTGAGCAAGAGAGAAGCAAGTTTAGAGTGAGTTTAGAATGACGTGTAGTGAGATTATTCTCATGGCAGTGATATTTTAATTTAGATTAAAATACCCTGTGGGTGGGCTCAGTGGGCAATGGTGCGTGCTGTGCAAGCCTGGAGACCTGAGTTCAGTCCATGGAACCCATCCACGTAAGGGTGGCAGGGGAGAACCAACTCCCAAAAGTCACCCTCAGACATCCACCCTTCTCTTTCCTTAAAAGAGGAGACTGGGGGAATATGACATCCCTGAGCCTACATCCATCCCTACAGAACATACCAGATGAGAGGTATTCCACAAGGAAATGAGAAACGTCGCATCTTCATCGGAAATAAAACGTAAAACCACTTATGCTGTAAAACCAATACCATTCAAGAGATCCAGTCTACAGCAGGTGCTCTGTGTGGCCAACTGGTGCTTTTACCTCCTCTTATCATCCAAATGTTTCTGCCCCGGCCTGCTGGCTGGCTGTTGTAGCCCAATGAAGGCTACAACCTCCTTCACTCTGATTCCTTCCTCATCCCCTGTGAAGGCTAACCACATTTGTAAAGGGCCAAGATTGAACCAGCCCGATTCCCAGAGTGAAAAACAGATGGGCCTTTCCAACCTTTCTGCAACCAGCACACCCCTTATGGAGCAAATCCAGATGTGTGGAAGACAGTGCAGAAGCAGGAATCCAGGAAGAGCAGCGTGTGAAGCTTTGCTTGTCCCACCCCCACCCCATCTTGGCCACGAGCAGCTAGTTCCCACTGGGTATCCTCACAGTATTCAAACACACAAGCCTCACTGTCTTGTGGCCACCTCATCTCCACTCAGGAGTATGTTTGCTGTCCATTACATATCAATCTGGGACCTCCATCTTTGAAGTCCCCCCACCTCTCCTCTAAGACGCTCCAGAGCAGTTCCTGTGGTGCTCTACTCCACTCCTTAGGGCACTGAGGATGGACTTGGTCAGGGCCAGAGAAGACAGGTCAGCAGAGTGGAGGTGGCGGCATGCTGACTGTACTCTCTGGTCCCGGGTGCGTCGGAGCACAGCAGAAAGGAAAGTTGCTTGTATTCGGGACTTCAGGAAGTTCTGGGCACAAGCATCGTCACTTCAGGACCCCAGGGACAAAATGCAGCCCCGCATCAGGCTTCCTTTGACTCCCAGAATCTAGCTCCAGTTGACACATCAACACCTGATGGCATTGAGGCCATAGGGAGCAGTGTTTTAGGGAAAGCCGGGGATGGTATCACAGGGGTGGGCTCAGGATGGGCACAGGTATAGGTGTTAGTAAGGTTGGAGAAGCACACAGTGGGGCTTTGGGCTGTGAGGTGTGAGGATTCCTGTAAATATGCCCCCATTCACTCTTGGGGTGCCCCTGGGCCTTAGATGTCTGCCTCAGCATAGTGTAAACGCTTGAGGGTCTCCTGGCCCGTTCCAGGACCTAACACTCTGACCAACCCTTGCTGAGAGCCCAAGGGCTTCAGACAGGAAGAAGAGAAGCATACCAAGTCAGTGATCATGAGGACAAGAATGGGGACTGGGAGAGGCAAAGCTGCCGAGCCAGCAACTGTCCTGTAGGGACAGTGATGCCAGATTTCCCATCTCTTCTCGTAAGAAAACAGAAACCCAGATTTCTCTCTCTCTTTCTCTCTCTTGAAGACTACCTTATGTATCTATCCAATGCTGCCCTCCAAGCTTGCTGTGTAGCTGAGTATTGTTCCACGCTCTCAGTACTGGTATTACAGGCATCTCCCATTGTGCCCAGCTTAACCCGCACCGGGAGTCAAACCCAGGGCTTCACACATGCTGGGCAAGCACTCTATCAACCGAGCCACTTCCCCAGCCCCCACATCCAGGCTTTTAAGGTGAATGTTCTGATTTTCAGATGCAAGCACTGGCAAGTGTGAAAGTCACTGTCTGTACCTGCCCGGTGAGATCCACTGTCTGCCTAGCTTCGGCCTGGGAAGGAGGTCCTCTAACACCCTCCCTAGCCCCGGTCTCTCACTGATCCTCTACACTCCAGGTGCATTGGGCAATGCACAAAATGAAAAGGGCCAGGCCAAGAGAGATTAGAATTCTTTTTCATGTTCAAAGCCAAGTAAGTCTTCTACTGCCTTGGGGCTTGTCTATGCAATCCTGGCTGTCCTGGAACTCACTTTGTAGACCAGGCTGGCTTCAAACTCCCAGAGATCTGCCTGCCTCTGCCTCCCTGAGTGCTGGGATTACAGGCGTGGGCCACCTCACTCTGCTGCCCAGTCCCTTTCTTACGCACTCTCCTCAGCGGAGCCCTTGGATTGTGCTGCCTGTTTTCCTACCAGGAACCACCATTCAGGACTAACTGAGCTCGTGCCTGCTGATGGATGTTCCATGCCCTGTAGCTAGGCCAGCAGGCCAAAGCTGACAACGTGACACAGGCCAACACAGAGCTGCTTTGACTCGCAAGCTCCAACAGAAGCAGGCGCCCTCAAATAAAGAGCCTTGAGATTCATCCAACCAGTTTAATGCCTGGTACAACCATGCAAATGCCAAACCAGGGGTGCACAAGGCAACAGGAGCCTGAGGGGGGCACAACAACATTGTCATAGGGAAAACGGGGTTGCCTAATATTCACTGGGGAGGGGTGTGGGGGAGAAAGACCCTCTGGCAGCGCAGGACGACCACATACTCCTCAGGGGAACCTGCATCCCGTCACGAAAGAAGGAACGAGCTGGCCGCCTTTACTCCCGGACATAAATTCTTGTGCACACCACATCATCGGCGCCAAATGTCTGCCCAGAGAAGAAAAGGAAAACCAATCAGTACAGATGCCTGTGAGAAAATGTTTAAAACCCTTCACCAATGAGACAACTGACTGTCCTGTTAGTAGTGCTTCCTAGCAGACTTCAAACCCTGAGCTGCGGGCTCAAGCTAAGTGCTCAGGGCAGGCACTCTCCACTAAGCTCCCCTCTCAGCAGAGAAACAGCTAGGCCATAGAATTATGTCATATCCAGATCTTTGCTTCCATAACCTGTGAATGCTGATGCAAGACATGCAAATTTCCTGGCTTTGGTTTTGAAATGAGGCTGAAAGAAGATGAATGTCATATCAGATATTTCTCAGGGGCTTCTGTGTCGTCTCACCCTCGAGAGTGAGGGGCTTGGGCAGCTGCAGCCAGATGGGACTGTGCTTTGGAGATAAGATAGAACTGCATTCTGGGACACAGCCATCTAGCCTGGGAGACAACAGCCTGATGAAGGGACAGCCAGACCTCTGTATGCATGGCTTCCACACCTTCACAGTCAACCAAGCACAGATTAAAATATTCACTTAAAACCTGCAAACATCCTAAACACGGATAATTTTTTTCATGTTATTATTCCCTAGGCTGTATACTATGACATATTTGCGTGGCATTTATATGCTATTGTGTGTCATAGGTAAGCTAGGAATGACTAAACTAGGAATGATGGCAGAGGCTTGTCCATAGGCCAAATGCTATACCACTTTATATAAGGAACTTGAGCATTTGAACATTTTGGTGCCTGCAGGGGTCCTGTAACAAATCCCCTATGAACGTGGAGGTTTAGCTATAATAATCATCACCTCTGAACTGAAACACTATTTGCAGATGCAAGAACACATAGCATTGGCATTCTGACCCAGCACTGCAACCATAGGCGGGCACGTCTCTCCCTCCCTTGGCCTGCTCGGGGTGGGCAGGGGGCAGTGTTGAGGGGAGGGCTCTTTCAGGCCAAGACTCTCTATGACTCTGTTGGCTAGAGGGAGGACATAAATCCTTCCCCGGATGGGAAGGAACATTTTTTTTCTGGTTCCTGAAATGGTAGCACCTGTATAAGTAAGACGTCTCAAATTCCCCCAAACTGCCAATTACTCATGAGCCTGCTCTCCTGGGACTCTCACACTCAGAACAGGGAAAGCAAATGTGCATGTGCAAAAAAACCAAAGACAAAAAACGGCTGGAAAGATGGCTCGGCAGTTAAGAGCACTGGCTACTCTCTTAGACCAGGGCTTGATTCCCAGCACCCACATGGCAGCTCACAAGTGTCTGTAACTCCAGTCCCAGGGATACCACACGCTTCTCTGGCCTTCAAGGGGACTGGCGCACACATGGTACAAAGACATGCAGGCAAAACATCCATGCACATAAAGTAAAAGTTAAAACAAACAAAGAAAGACAAAGACGAAACCTCCCCAATTGGCAGCCTTCGTGTTAGGTTCATTTGTATGTTTATTTGTTGCACGCCTTTATCTTTCAGATTATCCAAATGGCTGACAACTCAAGAGAAGCGAAGGCTATTGTGTAAGAGCTTAATTATCTCAAGGTCTTTAGATTATTTTTTTTAAATCTATTTGTCTCATCAAGTTGGGAACAGAATCCAGAGTCTTGCCCAAATGAGGTAAATGTTCTATTAGCCATACTGTTTTATTTTAATCAGTGTAAGAATGGGATGTATTTCATATCCTTACCCTTCCAGCACTTAGTGACCAGATGCTTTTGGGATATTTGCTAAGGCATCACATGCTTCCAAGAAATATTTCCCTCTTATCGTGATTATTAAGGAGTTCCTGGTGAAAAGGGCAGTTTTTAAGGGCTTTGTGTCTCCCCTCTTTCCCATTATTGAGGAATTATCTGATGCTATGTCCTGGGCATGTATTGGGGTTCCCACCATAAATCTACTCTTCAGATGTTGCACCCTAAGAAGCATGCTGATTTCCCAGAATTCCTAGGGCCTACAGCCACTTAGGTTTCTGGAGCTCACCCAGGTGAAAAAATAGCTTCATGACCTGTGAAGAAATCCCCACATTTCTAACTGCAATTGAAAAGCTCTTTCCAGCCTCCCAGTGCATACATTTATGCTTAGACATTCCAGAGAGAAACTCTATAGAGCGTCCCAGAGCACTGCGAGGGAGTATACTCAGTTTTCAAAGGAAGACAAGTTACAGCCCATGGCAATTTACTGTTGGCTCTGGGGACACTTATTTCAACTAAACTACAGTTACTTACCTCTCGTTACATGGAGATTACATCTCCCAACGTTTTAGATTTATTAACGATAATAACCCTTGAAACAAAAGCCCACATTTCACATCCCAAATGCCAAGAGTTAATGCTCCCTTTGAGGCTTGTATATATGTTCGCTGGGCCAGGGGAGGAGGCCTGGGAGGAACTGCAGTGTGGGGGTCGTAAAGGACAAAATGTGGTGGAGTCCTTCGTTGACATTTAGACTGTGCCTCCAGCTTCTCCATATTAAAAAGATCAACAAAGTCCCACCTTTTCAGTGTAAACTGATCAAGCCTACTTAACCCTCAGCCAGATTCAAGAACCCTAACATCCTCCCATTCCTTGCTACCTCTGGTCCCTATAAATTCCATGTCCCTGTCTCCCTCGATTTCCAAGTCTCTGCCTCCAATTGCTCTCTGGGTCTGTGAAGTGATCCTCTGCTGGGAACATTAGGCAGGTTGCAGATTAAGCCAGGCCTTTGTCCATGAAAGAAGAGCTGGTTAAATCATCCCAGCAAAGGACCAGAGGAGAGGAAGGGGGAGAGAGCAAACGGCCTCAGAGCAGCAGACAGCTCAATGTAGGGTCTTCTTACAGGCTAAACATGTAATTTTAGGGCTGGAAAGACCCTCAGGGGCCGCAGCTCAATCTCTCATTTTTATAGCAGGAGGAAGGGAGTGTGGGAAGGACAGAGAAGGTCCATGCCACGGTGACACAGGGCATCCTTCGCCAGCAAACTTTTCAGGCTTCAGTACCTCTAGGGAGATACTGACTAAAGGAGTCTCACGGGGAGATGTGAACAGATGCCTGATGGGAACAAAGGGTTCCTGGGCCTCTTTCTAGCCTGGGGTGGGAGCTGTCAGTCAGTTCTGAAACCCTGGGGAAGCAAGTGCAGGTTATTCGTCCTCTCCACCTCCTCTTTCTTCTGTACAAACCCCAGTAAGATGTAACTAAGTTAAACACTGTTTTTCTTTGCAGACTGGGTATTGTTCTATAGCCTCATCGGCTTGGAGCTCCTGACCCTTCCTGCCTTCAGAAGGCTCCATGGCAACACTGGGTTACTGCCTGGGCTGGACATAAAGGCTTTACACTTGGCCTTACTAGGTAAGTTTTGCTTAGCTGTGGATGCTTAAGATGTTTCTGTCTAGGTCAGGCATGGCGGTGCAGGCCTTTGATCTCAGCACTTGGGAGGCAGAGGCAGGCAGAGCTTGAAGGTGGAGGCCAGCTGGTTTACAAAGTGAGGTCCAGGACAGGCTACACTGAGAAACCCTATCTCAAAAAATAATAAAATAAAACAAAACAAAAAAGCATAAAAAGAAACAACAACAAAATACTGCATACTTTTAACTAGTGCTCACCCTCTCTGGTGAGCCTACCTTTCCACACCAGTACATTAAGATACTTCCCAAATTGGCATTCCTTGCCTGGCTCCTGGGGGGCCATCAGAGTTTTTAAGTCTGGACTAAAAATATTCTGTATGACTTTGAATGCGGATGTGAGAAAATGTTGTGAAACTTTTCTCTCCCAGCAAAGTGGATCATGGGAGTGGGGGGAATCTCGTTTTGTCTAAGCTGAGGGGTTTCACTGAGCCTCAGCGTGCCAGGCCAAGCCAGAGAGGAGACTGGGGTTCTAAGCCACCACTGGGGTTGGCACAGAACAGTTTGGACAAAGGTCTGGCATTCAAGTCAGTCTCAACTACCCACCTTCTCAGCCACCCCTACACCCCCACGCCTTCCAACCTTTCTTGAAAAGTGAGCATTCGGACAGCACACTTGTACGGCCCACCTCTGGGGAACCCGGGGAACCCTGGGATTGACTCAGAGCCGAAGGGTCCTTACCAGGATCAGCTCATCGTTGGCTAGCTCTCGGGTCCAGTAAGTTTTGGGGCCATCCCCCTCAAGCAGAGTTTGTGTGCAGTGAATCTTGTTCTCATTCTCCCAAGTGGGTAAACTCTGCAAGGCAGGAAAACCATTAGTGATATTAATTACCGTCTCGGCAGCGGGAGGGGAGGAACACAAAGAACACCAGAGAATAATCGCCCAGCAGAAAAGCAACACATGGTCCCTGTCAGCCGGGCCCAGCGTCTTCTCTGCTGAGCCACAGAAAGGACAAACTCAGAGTGACGGTCATGGCTTTATGGGGTACAAACTCACCTTGTCTCACACATGCACAGCCTTGCTGGAGCAGCAAAGCCTCGGGCATGCTTCGCATCTCTCGGAATAAAAGCCAGCGTGCACAGTGATCCACTGTGATTCAACACAAGGAACCTCCCCAAACAATTTGGACTTTAAAGTACCTTCTGTCAGAATCACAAAATGTTACAACGGTTGAGATGGTACATTTGCAACCATTCTGGTGGCCAGCAGATGAGAAGGTGGGTCTGTGCCCAGATTCCGGACTAACACCTTCCTCTCTCCACATTTCTCCTCAGCCTAGCACGCAGCCTACTCGAGTAAACCAGCTATCTGTCTCTGGGGATAAAAATGCTTCTGCTTTTCAGATTACATCCTTCTAGAAACATTCTGTGGAAAAACCAGGCCAATCTGAAGGCTCTTCAAGGGGTTGGAGGTGAACAAGCAAAAGGGAGAGTCCCTGCAGCTTCCCCAGTATCTGCACTAAGGCAAAGTGAGATACAGCTGGGCTGGGTGTCGCTGAGCGTGCACATAATCACTTTTAAACTAACACTTGGGACTCCTTCATTAAACAAGGGGTGGGGGAAGGGGTGGGGAATTTTTAAGCTCTGCTTTCTCCAGGGTGTTACATGATTCTTTTGTTGTTTTTGAGTCAGAGCTGCCCTCTCCGGCAGTTGCTTCATTCTGTTTTGTTTGATTTTTCTTTCTCCCTCCTGTGATGCTAAGGATTGAACCCAGGGCCTCCCACACGCTGGGCGCATGCTCCACCACTGGGCTGTATTCCCACCCATGTCCTTTTTGTTTGGTTGCATTTTGGTTTTGTTTTCAAACAACGTGGTGACTTGAACCTCAGGTCACACTAAATTCAAGCAGGGGTCAGTTTTGATGGGCAAAATTCTGATGTCTCATGAGTGAGCCTGCTATCGGGGGCCGTGTCTCTCTGTCCTTCCAAACATGGTGACTGGAGTCACAATTGGATCAGATAGATATAGGCTCTGGAAAGAGAAAAGAAGTAATTTCCCATTCTTTAGAACGTTGTTACATTACTTTTTTTTTTTTTTTTCATTCTGTAGGTCTGCCTATCTTTGAGCTCACAGGGATCTGTCTGCCCCTGCCTTCGACGTGCTGGGATTCAGGGCACACGCCACAACGCTTGGCCTCATTTGCAGATTTTTCAGAACATTGGAAAATCTGGGTGTGGTGGTTCACTTTGTGGTCCTAGCACTTGGAGGAGACAGGAGGGCTGATGCAAGTCAGATCCAGCCTGGGATATAAAGTGAGATCCTGTCTCAACCAACCAACCAACCAAACAGGAAAACAAATACACAAAACAACAACCACAAAACCCGAGGTGGAGAAAGGGGCGTCCTTTTAGCATGAGATAGCAAGGCTGACGCTAACCAGTGCAAGTTTTGCAAAGAAAAACAGTAATGTCAAAGCATTTGCTCCAGACTCACCCTTTGGCTCATGTTTCAGGAAAACAAAACAAAAACAAACAAATACCCTCCCCCCACCCACCCTCAACTTCTCTTGCTTGTTGGATACAGTAGTGGGTTCTTGTAATCCCAGCACTCCAAGGAGAGAGTCAGGAGCACCAGCCTTATGGTTCGAGGTCACCAGTTTTACACTCAGAGTTCCAGGCTAGCCTAGTCAGGGTTACAAACCCTGTCTCCTTATGAATCAGTCTCCCTCTCCTGCGCCCTCTCCCTCTCTTGCCCTTTCCTCCTACGGACCTCTTTCTATCTCTCCCTCGAGGACTTAGAAAGGACAATTGGTACATTTTCTGAGCTAGAACCTGCGTTGCTTTTACTTTAGGGAGAATTTCACCATTCCCTTCAAGACTTTAAACACGGAAGGGCAGGAAGAGGTGGCAGCCGATCCGGGTTGTGCAACTGGATCCAAACCGTTCTCCCACGGTCCAGGGACCCAGGGAGCAGGGCCCTAGATCAGCCGCCCCACCTACTACAGGTAACTCAGCAGCTGCGCGGAACAGGAGACGGAACCTTTCCCCCACGGTCGTCGCCGGAGCTAGCGCTGAAGGCGCCGTCAGCGGGGCACCGACCGCAGCCACCCAGAGCGCAGAGCGCGCGCGTGCTGGCACCGGGGGACAGTGTGGGGAGAGAGCCGGGCAGGTCACACAAACCTCCCGCGGGCTGGAAGGGGTGCCCGGGAAGGAGGGTCGGGCCTCACCCTGCACTTGCGTCCGTCCACTGTCTCCTCCTCGAAGCCCTCTCCGACCTTGAAGCTGATCTCCGTGGTGCGCACCGTGGTGGACGTCTTGATGTAGAACTGGTCCCCGTCCTGGCGGATCTCCACGTGAGGCTTGGACGCCGCGGCCACCGCCACCTTCCTCAGCATGGCGTTCACACCTGCGCGCGGAAGCGCGAGCGCGGGTCAGCCGCCCGCGCCCGCTCGCTGCCCCCAGACCTGCCCGGTAAGGCCCCATCCTCTGGCTTCTCCACTCGCCTCGGTCCTCGTCGGGGGAACCGAGGCTCGGGCACGGCAAGTGGCTTTCCTGCGCTACCCGGCGTTTTCATGCAAGACCGGGTCTCAGACAGTCCCCAGCTTAAAGTCCCTGCCCCTCGCTCTGCTCTGGCACGAGAGAAAGACGGGGCCGTCGAGAAAGGCGCCAAAGGGCCAGCAAACGTTAGCTGAACCGCTGGGGTCCGGAGCCGGCTCTCCTTTACCGTGGGGCTGGGGCGCGGCTGGAGCACAGCAAACAGGTCCATTGCCCCGCGGACTCCCTCCTGCCCGAACCTCCCCGGCCACCCTCTCCGGGACACGGCACCCCCGAGCGCAGCCTCGGCGCCGGCTTACCCAGAGCCTTGAGGAGCTCGTCGAAATTCTCGCTGCTGCGCATCTTCCAGGTACCGGCGAAGTTGGGCATGGCGGCGGCGCGAAGGCGGCGGCAGGCACTCCCCTCTGCTGCGGAGCGGAGCGGCAGCGCACGGCAGCGGGGCGAGGAGGGACTGGCGGTCCGCGCCCGGCCGCACGCGCCTTGAGCCGCCGGGGTAGCGCCCCCCGCCGCCCTCCTGGGGCCCCGCCCTCAGGTCCCGCCCCCGCCCTGCGTGCGCGCGGGGAGGGGGAGGGGGCCCACGGCAGGGCCGGGGGGAGGGGGGCCCAACTCCCCGCCCTAAGGCGCTTCCCCGTCCTTCCTCGTCTTCCCAGCCGCCAGTGATGCAGCGTGGAGCCCGCTCTCCCGCGTGCCTCCTCCACCACGCCGCCCGCAGCCTGTTTTAAAAAGGGTGGTGGGAGAGGGCTTAATGAAGCCAGGTCGGCCTGGAGGCCGAAGCTAGCTAGGTAGTGGGGATTCAGGGATCATGACATCGGTTGGTTCTCTACTTCTGGCTATGTTTGAAAATGTCCTTTCCTTAAGGTTATAGTGAATAAGGCCATGAGGGATGGGGACCACTTTCTTCCCACCCACGCTTTACTTTTTGGCTGCCACTAGCGGGGGGTGGGGGGGGTGTCCCTCTGCTCTGGCCTTTGGTTAGCTTTTGAGGACCAATTGGAACGAGTGGCAGGGAAGGCCCAACCCCCACCCTGCCAGCCTTGTCACCGAGGAAAGGAACCCAGGCTGGAAACCATGGGTCTTCTGCCTTAGAAAGGACACAGGACGTCACAGTCTCTTTGTTGCTCGCTTTAGACCAGGTAGCTGTCGAAGAGACTGAAAGCGCAAAATAAAATAAAATGCAGGGAAATGCGGGAGCATGTTTTGCCTAAAATTGCCAGTTTGAACGCTACAGGCCTGCTGGGAAGGCCTAGCAAGGAAGCCTCACTTTAGCTTTGACAGATCTGAAAAGCAATGCACACTCCGTTGTGCCTTTCCGGCCTTCCCCTTTAGACCTCAACATTTTATTGCAGCCTCTTTCCACTGTTTCACCACGGACACACCTCAGCCAAACTGCCCAATTCAGGATCCTAGAACCTGCCCCACACGGCCCCATCTCAGCCTTTGACCATGCTGTACTTGCTCTCTGAAGTTCACATTTCCCTCGCTGGGTTGAAAAAAAAAAAAAGCTTTCCCATTCATCACAATATAGGTGTTGGAAAATTCTGTTTCCTAACCAGATCACCTTCCTCTGAATGTACAGGATTCCCTTGTGGTTTTGCTCTTATTCCAGTCTTCACTGCTGAAAATTGACCGTTTAGGGCCCAGTGATCAAAGCTGATCAATGCATCCTCATTTCCTCAGGCTCAGCCAGGTGGGGCTCATAAGTGAATCGATTCTCAAAAGATGCAGATGTTCTGAGGCCTGGGGGTGATGGTGTGTGTGTGAGAGGATTCCTCAAGGACCTGGAGGCAATTTGCACCAAGCACTAACCGAAGAGAGGTCCTGCACATCTGAGTGGCTGAGATTGGTCTTCTGCCCAGGGGTCCTGAGAAGCCATCTATGACAGCTGAAGACGAGAGTACAGAGGGGCCATCCCTGGCTGGAAAGGGAGTATGCCTGTATTTTCACGTGAGTGCTTGGGACCAGAACTCAGGGCCTCGTATTTGTGTGACGCTGCCATCTGAGCCATCTCCCAAGCCCTCTAGCTTGAAATTTTTAATCTCTGAACAAGGGGCTCTGCATTTTCATTGTGCCCTGGGGTCTACAAGCTAGGTATCCTGCCTCTACAGTGATGGGGCCAAAGGAGGGGTGTCATGAAGCTAACACAGGCCTCCACCTCCACTCAACACCGCTGGCCAGCAAGGCATTACCCATGAAGAACAGGGCCGGGAGCCGGAACCAGTCCTATAGTTTGTAGCCCAGGGGAAGCAGGATGGGAATGGGCAGGTTTTACAGCAAAGGTACTGCATGGACTAGAGGGAAAGGGAAGACAGGGAAAGTGGAGGGATTCATGGTGGAGAGGTGGTAGGGGAGGTGGCTCCGTGTGCTCAGTGCTCACAGTGCAACCGTGAGGACCAGTTCAGATCCCCAGCACTCATGCAAAAAGCCAGGTGTGGTGGCACGTGCCCAGTGCTGAGGAGGTGGCTCCCTGGCACCTACCTGCCAGCCAGACTATCTGTGTTGGTTATCTCCAGGTCCGGTGAGTCCTAAAATGAGATGGAGAGTGATTGAAGAAGACACTTAATTCTCAAGCTTTCATGTGCATGCGCACACAGGTGCAAACATACATGCACATATACCACACACAACAGAGTCAAAGAGAGAGAAAAGCAAGGGGAGTCAAGAGGGGTCCAGAGGGGCCTGCCCCCAGGTCGGCATTGTCACACCATGAGGACAATGTGCTATTGTCAGGCATAAAGCAAGGATAGGGTCCAGGAGGGAAGTAGGCTGTCATTGCTACTCTGCCTTAGTTACCAGGAAACATCAAACCCAAGAGGGCAACAAAGAACTGTGGTTCATCTGTGGACCCAGACTCAGGTTCCAGAGAAAAGACCCCTCCTGGGTAGGGGAGGTCCAGCTCTTGGCATGGGCCTAAAAACAGACCGGCAGAGTCCCCTAAACCCTTCTTCTGCTTCTTTCCCTTTTTAACTTATGAACCTTTGCCAAGGCCTATCTGATACAGGAACTGGGTACAGCATCATGGATGGTGATCATCAGGATCCAGGGCTTGGGCTGAGGGCTCCCTGTTGCACTGAGAACCTAGAAACTGTGCTTGCACATGGCTGACAGTGCCTGATGGCAGGTGTGTGGTCCAGCCTAGGTTGAGCCTGAAGAGCAGGTCTGAAGGGGATGAGAGTGCAAGTCGTTTGACCATGTAAACCAGAACTATGTGCTTTCCAGCATGGCTGAAGTATATAACCGAAAAGGGTTGGCGGGGGCGGGGGGGGGGGAGTTAGTAAGCAGGCAAGAGTCTTCCACCAAGAACAAAAGGCCACAAATGGAGTGGGAAGTTCTGTCTTTGTCCTGTCCTTTCCCCAAAGGGTGTGACGGGTGTTCTGTGAAGGATGGGGAACAGGTTGCAAGATGGGTCACTCCTTGGTAAAGCCCCAGAAGGACCCCTCCTGTGAACACTAAAAGTAATCACATACAGGGAAGTGACGCTGGGTACCTGGCAGGTTGCTGGGGGGCTAAAGAGCGGAAGTGGGGCTGGCTCTGGCTGACTGAGGAGTGTGCTTGTCTCTAGTCTAGTTGGGACTCTTACACTTAGGTGCAGCATGGTGGATGTGGCCTGAAGCACAAAGACAGAAGAGTAGGGCTACGGAGAATGGTAGCAAGGACAGCTTGATGTGGCTGGTGACATGGCTCAGCTGAGTTCAGCCTCCAGGGCCATATGGTGGAAGGAGAGAGAGGACTCTCACAAGCTGTCCTTTGACCTCCACATATACACCAGCAGTACACGGCCACACAGCAAATAAATGAATTAATTCAATCTTAATTTTTTTTCCCAAGAACGTATTGAGTTGAAGGGCCAGGAGGAGTCCTGGACAGAAGATAGAGGGACGTGGGGGTGGGAGGGAGCCTGGGGGCTGGGAAGAAAGCGGAGTGGACTTTAGATCTGAATGTGCCTTGAGGTTGAAGGCCTCTCTGTTGGGGCAGGTGGGAAGTCAGAGCTGGAGATGCGGGGTCTGTGGCGATGGTGCTGAGCCACAGGTGCTGATGTGGTACAAGGAGGGTAGCAGAGCAGATGGCACACGGCATTCGCTAGCTCTCAAGCCCTGTTATCCTGCAGGACTGTTTCAGAGAACCATTTCAGGTGACACCACTCAAGAAAGGTGGGGGCAGAGCGAAGAAAGATATAAGGAGAAAAGTGACACGACCAGATTTCAGTTTAATATTTGTATATGTGTGTGTCATGGGGTGGGGGGAGTCAAATCCAGAGCTTCATGCATGATAGGGTCAGACTGAGCATGTGCGTGTACGTGTTTATGTGTGTGTGTGTGCAGGCATAGGTGTGCCACATTGTAAGTGTGGGCATCAGAGGAAAGCCTTGCATGTCCATCCTCATGTTCTTCCTGGCCTGAGGAAATATCAGACTGAGAACTACTTGCAGAGCAAAACTAACCGGTAAGAGACTGACTTGCTGTTGAAGGTGAAAGGTCACTAGTGAGTGCTGGATTTCTAGCTTCATAACGGTGTGCAGGATGAGGCCACCAACCTAGACAGGGGTAGACAGTTTTGTCTGGAGGATTCCAAGTTCTGACATTACATATTATGGGCTTGAGGCTGTGGTCAACAGATACAGGCAACTGCTCAGAGTCTGAACTTCAGTATTGAAGCAGGACGAAGCATTTTGGAAAGCCTCTAGGATGAGAGGCCAGAGAAAGAGGGTGGGATAAAGCGATGGGGGCAGTGTCGACCACCATGTTTGGACCTGAGGCTTTAGAGTGGACTCTGGGTACTGTGAGGCCTAGTGACAGGAACTAGGGATTCCAAATAAAATTCTGGTTACTTGATCTGGGAGCTTGGCGATGGCAAAGATGGGGTTAGGCCTTGGTCCCTAACTGCCCAGTCCAGGAAGAGTTGATTGGCACTGGCAGGGAGACAAAGGTGACTTGTCTGAACACATAGCTGTACAAGTCAATTAATTCCATGTCTGTGGGATTCTAGAGCTTTCCAGGGAGCCCTGTGTGGGCTGACATTAACAACCCTGTTATTGTTTTGGCTAGAAAATCTGATCTTAGAGAAAATCTTCCTGGAGGGGAAAAATTCTTTCAGAATATAAGATCCATGAGTGCATTTATTTACCTGTTTACTGACTTAGAGGTGAAACTGGGGGTCAGAGGAGAACTGGCCTGAGCAAGATCAAGGAGAAGAAGCATATCACGGGAACTCTTGAGTAGAGACATCAGTATCAAGATGAGACCTGAGACGCTGTGGTAAGGCTACAAAGGGACAGAGAGACACTACAATAGTTCGGGAGTCTTGAATCTGGCAAGCCCGAATGTGACACCAAGCTGAGGTTGGCCTCTGAAGGCAGGAGGACAAAGAAAGTCCTTCTGGGCCGTAGAGATAAGGTCCTGAGGACATAGGATCCCAGTCATTCCCCTCATGCCCCACACGAGGCACCTCTCCAGCACTGGAAGGCCTGT